CAGCTTTGCATTTGTATACACAGATTGAAGAGCGGCCCAAGTCAGTTGGCTGTGTGTGGATGTGCTGCGACAATGGGCCTTTGTTTCAGACTGTTCATGTGTTTTCTGATATATACCTTGGTGTCACAAGTTTCTGTTATAAGTCCGACATAGTGTTATATTTTCTCCATTGATCTGATCGCATGCAATCATGACTAATCACTTTACAGTTGTAAAGTCGCTCCTTTGCGCGTACGTCCGTGAAGATCCGGGTTAAAATTGGTCTTCAACACCCATGCTTGTCGTAAGAGGCAACTGACAGGATCGAGTTTCTCAGACTCACTGACTTGGTTGTCACATGGCATCGTATCCCAATTGCGTAGATCAATGTTCATGATGTTGATCACTGGATCGTCTGGTTGAGACACGACTATTCACAGAACACCGCAATACAGATGGAATATTGTTGAGTGCGGCTTAAACAGCAAAGAAACACATGACGTTGATACGTCCAAAGTAATAGGTTAGGTTTGTCTTAGTTCGTTGGTTGGATTGGTGTTTCACGTCGCACTTAGCAATACTTCAGATATATGGCGGCCGAGTTTGTCTAAGGGCAGGAGAGCGGTTTACTGCTCTCGGTCGTAATATTACTGCGCTATATACACATATATACATTGCTATACAAGTACATGTAGATATACATACAAGAAGGTACACGCGCCAGATCTGCACGGTGTTAGTTGTAGAGTTGGTGCCCCAAGGCACCTCGGATACCGCTAGCTGGGCAAAAATTCAGCGTATATACCCCAGTCCTGTGTCACAGACTCAGTCATAATATAACCACACTAATTACGGAGGAGTGACAGGCCCGCTGACAGTAAACACACATTGGGGATTAACAGCTTGGATAAGTTCATGGCAGTAAAGTGATTCCACACTTGTGCATGCCATCGCTACATGGTAATTACACTTCCGAATTGATATTCCTTCAAAGAAAGGTTGTCATTAAAATGTCACGTAGCCGTTCTCATATAATGCTTGAATACTCAAGTCTCAATCTCAGGACTGCAGCAAAGCATGTCATCAAGACATGTCATCAATGCATGCCATAACATACGCCACTGAGGTTTTTCATATGGGTAAGTTATCATGACATGTCATAAGATACGTCATGAAAATATGTTATTAGATACGTCATCAAAGTATGTCAGGAAAGAATGACATCCATTTATTTCATCAAGGTATGCTGTCAAGGTATGTAAGGAAAACATGTCATCAAGGTACGTTGTCATGGTATGTCAGGGAAAACATGTCATCAAGGTACGTTGTCATGGTATGTCAGGGAAAACATGTCATCAAGGTATGTAAGGAAACATGTCATCAAGGTGTGTCAGGAAAACATGTCATCAAAGAATGCAAGGAAAACATGTCATCAAGGTACGTCAGGAAAACGTGTCATCAAGGTACGTCAGGAAAACATGTCATCAAGGTATGTCAGGAAAACATGTCCTCAAGGTATGTCAGGAAAACATGTCCTCAAGGTACGTCAGGAAGACATGTCATCAAGGTATGTCAGGAAAACATGTCATCAAGGTATGTCAGGGAAAACATGTCATCAAGGTACGTTGTCATGGTATGTCAGGGAAAACATGTCATCAAGGTATGTCAGGAAACATGTCGTCAAGGTGTGTCAGGAAAACATGTCCTCAAGGAATGCAAGGAAAACGTGTCATCAAGGTACGTCAGGAAATCATGTCATCAAGGTACGTCAGGAAAACATGTCATCAAGGTATGTCAGGAAAACATGTCATCAAGGTATGTAGGGAAACATGTCAAGGTGTGTCAGGAAAACATGTCATCAAGGTACGTCAGGAAAACATGCCATCAAGGTATGTAAGGAAACATGTCGTCAAGGTACGTCAGGAAAACATGTCATCAAGGTACGTTGTCATGGTATGTCAGGGAAAACATGTCGTCAAGGTACGTCAGGAAAACATGCCATCAAGGTATGTAAGGAAACATGTCGTCAAGGTGTGTCAGGAAAACATGTCATCAAGGTACGTTGTCATGGTATGTCAGGGAAAACATGTCGTCAAGGTACGTCAGGAAAACATGTCATCAAAGTAAGTCAGAAAAACATGTCATGAAGGTATGTCAGGAAAACATGTCCTCAAGGTATGTCAGGAAAACATATCATCAAGGTATGTCAGGAAAACATGTCATCAAGGTACGTTGTCATGGTATGTCAGGAAAACATGTCGTCAAGGTACGTCAGGAAAACATGTCATCAAAGTAAGTCAGGAAAACATGTCATCAAGGTATGTCAGGAAAACATGTCCTCAAGGTATGTCAGGAAAACATATCATCAAGGTATGTCAGGAAAACATGTCATCAAGGTACGTTGTCATGGTATGTCAGGAAAACATGTCATCAAGGTATGTCAGGAAAACATGTCCTCAAGGTATGTAAGGAAAACATGTCATCAAGGTATGTCAGGAAAACATGTCATCAAGGTATGTCAGGAAAACATGTCCTTAAGGTATGTCAGGAAAACGTGTCATCAAGGTACGTCAGGAAAACATGTCATCAAGGTACGTTGTCATGGTATGTCAGGAAAACATGTCCTCAAGGCATGTCAGGAAAACATGTCATCAAGGTATGTCAGGAAAACGTGTCATCAAGGTACGTCTGGAAAACATGTCATCAAGGTACGTCAGGAAAACATGTCATCAAGGTATGTCAGGAAAACGTGTCATGAAGGTACGTCAGGAAAACGTGTCATCAAGGTACGTCATTAAGGTACTAGATGTGAGATACATGGATATTGATGTACGTCTACATCAGTTTTGACGTTCTTGAAGCAAGAACAAATATTTTATCATCGTTTAATCACTGTTTGATATGAACACAGAAATCAACAATAATGAATTCTTCCATTCAGCCCTGTGATTACCGCTCCGGCTGACGAGCGACAGCACCGAGTGTAGAGTATCCCCAGCCAAATGCATTGCTACACCTTCCGACGCTCAGTACCAAGACACCGCTTCTGAACCATGAACAAAAAGTAGTCATATCTCTTGACATCAGCTCGTACTTCATAATATTTTAGACTTCTCTGATAAAGAGGTGACTAACATGATCTATATTACATGGTCAGAAAAGGACTCCACGCTCTGAGTTGTGTCTGGATGCATATGAAAGTAGCATGCTTCTTCTGGGGTTGTACAATATCCATGCATGACTATTGTATTGAACAAGAGTATTATAAAATGTGTATTGTAATATATATCACCTTGTTGAAAGGATGCCATGTTTACCTTCCATTTATGCACATGCGTGAACGGAGAACAAACTTGTAAGATGAACTGTGCTGAATATATTATGGTCGTCAATATAATATAGCGTATAATTATTAAATGGGTTTCCAAGCTTCTTCTGATGCTGCTCGGTTTTGTGTGAACCATCTGCTTCCTGCTTGTGTGGAGGAGGGAATATAGGATTAATAACACATATTCATGTCTCACATTTCAGGGATAAAACAGACTGTTGTTGGTTCCTTCCGGCTTGCTGGCAACCATGCTGGGCGAACCATCACATGCTGGCCATAATCACGTTTGTAAAATAGTGGAAAAAATCTATCATTATATTGCGAGGGTTCCAGCGCCGTGTTGCTCGAACCCTCATAAACTGGTTGTGTTATTTGATTAATGTAGGCCGAGCTTTTGACACAGACATGTCTGAAGTTTTCCAGTCTGAAAGTGATACGTTACTTTTCGAAAAACATGGGTGCATTTGAACACAGCTCCATAAGGTCGCTTCAAGCGTGGAAGCAGCTTCGTGGTGATTTCTAGTGCAGAAACTGAAGTAGTTTAAGACAAGTTGAACAACAGGGGGTCAGCGTTTTGACAACAATGTTCCCCTCCAGCTGACGTCATGTTTAAAACAAGCACGTGCCTTAACTTTAAACTGTTCAACAAGTGTGTAGCACCTAGAGATCCGTATTTCCCATATCAGATACTGGGGCACTAGTGGTATGCACTGTGGCAACAAGATAGGCTTGAAGATTTACCTGGGGTATATTGGTGTCATCTTCTACTGATGATATGATGCATAGCACCACCCAGGTTTTCATACCACACGAAGTTGTCTTGATTCAACCCTGTAGACCGTTAAAGCCTTTCAATGGCGTTTAGCAGTGATACAAATTTAGAGTGAAAATATACGGATGTCAACATTTGTAATATGAGGGACATGACAGGTGAATACAATGCTGGGAAGCAGGTAGGTATATAAGAACATGTGAAAAATGTGATAATATGACAAAGGTGGGGACTAAACAAGGGAAGCTAGTAGCTAATTGGCGCTGAATGGTAATTATAATGAGCTTGTAGAAGCCAGGAGTTAATAGAGGCGTAAATAGTCCTGATAGGTAATCAAACACTGATTGGTAATAGCCAATGGGTGGGGGTGGAATGTAACAGATAAGTTATAGTGAAGACATGGAAACTAGCACAGATAATTAAATTGGCAAGTCCCAGGCGCTAGCTACAGGTAGGTGTGTTTCCTGGTCATGGCTGATGGCTAGATGGATTCTTGTAGCTTGCTTGGTTATCTACTTAGCAAGTTATGTACCCGTTAGTTTTCTTCTCCCGATGCAGGAATAGGAATATACACCGAGACGCCATATCCGTCATATTACAGAAATTGACATCCATAAAATTCCCTCTTGTGACAATGGTCTTGAAACTCCTGAAAAAGTAGATTCACCCAAACGACCTCTTTAAAACAGAGCTGTCAAATATTTGGGAAGTGTTTGTTGTAACTAGGCAGAACCGCATCCACAAAAAGCACTATGTTTTGTAACAGCATTATGAGCGAGACTGGATGTGGTTACTCGGTTCCTCAGTACAGAGCTGGTGTTTAACGCGAGACTCTAGTACTTCCGTCCTGGTAACAAGGCGCGCGTGTTGACATCACACAACGTGTATACAATGATAAAACGAAATATTGAAGGTACTCACGGATTCCGTCGAATCGTGTTGCGATTGTGTCCAAAAAAGTGTTTTGTGACTGGAGAATTCCCTTTCTTCCTGGCATAGTGGAATGGAAGATGTAATCCCAGACTCGAGCTGTCAACAAGTTGTCACAAACACGTGTACGAACCCCGCTGATAAATCGTCCTCGTCATTGATCTGCTGTGATATCCACGATGAATTAATACTTTGTGAGCTGTAGCCTGTCACATAATAGGAAGCATGCAACTAACAGCTCATCAAAGGCTGAGAACAAATATAAACTGGTAAACTCATCACTCAATAAAATCAACACTTGGCGAGATATTCCACACAAGCTACAGGCTGGACATGCGGTTATAACATTAATACCACCGACCGCCGTTATTCTAATCCATCAGTAACTGCACTACCACATGGTATTGCTTAGCTCGTCACCCTCATCCTAATGACAAGTCTGTCACGTGACTGTGACATCACAATGAAATGTACAGCAATTTCGCGTCAGTTAATACCGTGACATCACGATACGAACTCGTTAAGGCCACAGACTTCTGTCATAGCGCAGCATCCCAGTCAATATTTTTACAAACGCTAGTCAGGGAGGCTGCACGCGCGTGGCCAGCAGGAGTCGGGCTGCACTTCAGGAGAGTCGGGATAATAGGGACCGCCGACGGAGCGAATGAAAAGGGATGGACAGACGGAAGAAGAGGATGAGAAGGAGGGTGATTGTCTGCCAGGCAGGTGACCGCTGCTAGTGACGGAGATAGGCGTTGCTGTGAACGGCAACTGGCTGTAGAATATTGATGATGCTGACTCATACATCGGCCATCAGGAGGAACAGCCTACTCATGCACGTGACAAAACAACAATAACTGCAACACGTTAGACTGTCTGACTTCTGTCTTTTCTATAAACCTACAAGTCCATTCTCTATCAATGTATCAGTCTCAACCTTGGCCGTGGTAGTGAGGCTCTGTTGTATTAGAGAAGCGCTCACTAAGCTGTGTATAATACCATGTATAACACAACAACCCATGGTGTTGGTAACAATGTGGTTTTCATGGGTTGTTTTCCATAATGGCTACAGCCGGGCACTGACGTGACACCTGCCAGTAGATTTTAATCCAAATTGGTCCACGAGTAGCACACCGTGCTTGTATTTGAGCCTATAGATTTACACTGATCATTGTGACGTCAACCCGATGTATGTTTTTGGTTACAAAATATATAACGAGGTGGTTCCTCACATACTTAGTACCACTCCTTTGTCCTTTCTATAGATCATTTCGTAGCCCAGTATGGGACTTCGATTCCAAGGTTTGGTGATTCTATATTGTCATAATTTCATAAAGTTTTGACTGGCGATACCATACTGAAATCTGACCCGGTAGTAGCCGCCTGTAACTTGACCAGGTAGCAACGGCCTGTAACTTGACCAGGTAGCAACCGCCTGTAACTTGACCTGGTTGATGGGTGGCCGTGTTTGGCAGCTTGACTCCTGCGAATTTCTGGGACGTCAGTCCTGCCCTAAAACGGAGCGCATGTGATACATTTTGTCTCACCCTAGGCAAGTGAGTTCGTTCAAAATTGCCTCCATTCACCCAGCAGAAAATGGGTCCCCGGTGGGATAAGCCTGTAACGTGACCAGGCAGTAGCCTCCAGTAACTTGAGCAGGTAGTAGCCGACTGTATTAGTGACATGTAATCTTGTCCGTAGTTCATCGTGGCGTCAACTCTTGAATTGTCGTAACTGGCGGAACTTAAACTCCCTTAAGTCCGTTGTCCTATGAATGCCGTAACTGTCATGCCTTAACATTGACTCGCCGTACCCTTTCGAGTGTCGTAACGCTCGTACGCTGAAATGGAGTAAACGCATCAAGTTCATCCTCGTTATGACAAGCAGTTCCCGACAACACTGGCCAGGTGTGTTATGTGTTGAAGGCTGCCATGTCCGAGTGGTGCATACATTACCAGCACCTGTCCACTCCACCACATGTGTTATAGAGGTATTCACGGTTAGTGTGATGCAGTAGAACAGGCTCTCAACGACCGGAGACCACTATCGAAACAACCGTAACATGTATTGCCATGCTCTCATACTCCAGTGACTGAACTGAAACAACCGTGACATGTGTATCTGATATTGGCATGTTGTCATACTCCAGTGACTGAACTGAAACAACCGTGACATGTGTATCTGATATTGGCATGTTGTCACATCCCCGTGACTGAACTGAAACAACCGTGACATGTATATCTGATATTGGCATGTAGTCACATCCCCGTGACTGAACTGAAACAACCGTGACATGTATATCTGATATTAGCATGTTGTCACATCCCCGTGACTGAACTGAAACAACCGTGACATGTATATCTGATATTGGCATGTTGTCACATCCCCGTGACTGAACTGAAACAACCGTGACATGTATATCTGATATTGGCATGTAGTCACATCCCCGTGACTGAACTGAAACAACCGTGACATGTGTATCTGATATTGGCATGTTGTCACATCCCCGTTACTGAACAGAAACAACCGTGACATGTGTATCTGATATTGGCATGTTGTCACATCCCCGTGACTGAATTGAAACAACCGTGACATGTGTATCTGATATTGGCATGTTGTCACATCCCCGTGACTGAACTGAAACAACCGTGACATGTATATCTAATATTGCCATGCTGTCACACCCCAGTAGCCTGTCATACACACCCTAAAACAAATATACCCACGAAAGCCCATGCAAGTCTAGAATATGTGGCAAGTTTGATTTCCACAGTTTCTGAAAATAAAGAAAGTCTCAGGGCTCCTTTTCAATACAGTTTATTTCTCTTATTATGAACTGTTTGTTCTGTAAAATATGTTCATTTCTGAGACTAGTTGTTAGTCTAACACCCCAGTGACTGATAACGAAACAGTGGCAACAGTTATATCTGCTATAGCCATGTTTTAATGCTATATATAGCAGGCATGGGTGGTATAATATAAGAGACACCAGTGTTTAGGCTGTATGCAATGCGATGCCAGCCATAGAGAACTAACTATGTGTTGACTGTCTGATGTGAGTTGTTCCAGGCCAACAGAGAACTGTATGTTGACTGTCTGATGTGAGTTGTTCCAGGCCAACAGAGAACTATGTGTTGACTGTCTGATGTGAGTTGATCCAGGTTAACAGAGAACTATGTGTTGACTGTCTGATGTGAGTTGATCCAGGTTAACAGAAAACTATGTGTTGACTGTCTGATTTGGGTTGTTCCAGGTCAACAGAGAACTATGTGTTGACTGTCTGATGTGAGTTGATCCAGGTCGACAGAGAACTATGTGTTGACTGTCTGATGTGAGTTGATCCAGGTTAACAGAGAACTATGTGTTGACTGTCTGATTTGGGTTGTTCCAGGTCAACAGAGAACTATATGTTTACTGTGTGATGTGAGTTAATCCAGGTCAACAGGGAACTGTATGTTGACTGTCTGATGTGGGCTGTTCCAGGCCGACAGGGAACTGTATGTTGACTGTGTGATGTGGGTTGTTCCAGGCCGACCGGGAACTGTATGTTGACTGTCTGATGTGGGCTGTTCTAGGCCAACTATATAGGATGTGGGCTGTTCCAGGTCAACAGAGAACTATATGTTGACTGTGTGATGTGGGTTGTTCCAGGCCGACAGGGAACTGTATGTTGACTGTCTGATGTGGGCTGTTCCAGGCCAACTATATAGGATGTGGGCTGTTCCAGGTCAACAGAGAACTATATGTTGACTGTCTGATGTGGGCTGTTCCAGGCCGACAGGGAACTGTATGTTGACTGTCTGATGTGGGCTGTTCCAGGTCAACAGAGAACTATATGTTGACTGTGTGATGTGGGTTGTTCCAGGCCGACAGGGAACTGTATGTTGACTGTGTGATGTGGGCTGTTCCAGGCCAACTATATAGGATGTGGGCTGTTCCAGGTCAACTGGGAACTATATGTTGACTGTCTGATGTGGGTTGTTCCAGGCCGACAGGGAACTGTATGTTGACTGTGTGATGTGGGCTGTTCCAGGCCAACTATATAGGATGTCGACTGTTCCAGGTCAACAGAGAACTATATGTTGACTGTCTGATGTGGGCTGTTCCAGGCCGACAGGGAACTGTATGTTGACTGTGTGATGTGGGCTGTTCCAGGCCGACAGGGAACTGTATGTTGACTGTCTGATGTGGGCTGTTCCAGGCCAACTATATAGGATGTCGACTGTTCCAGGTCAACAGAGAACTATATGTTGACTGTGTGATGCGGGTTGTTCCAGGCCGACAGGGAACTGTATGTTGACTGTCTGATGTGGGCTGTTCTAGGCCAACTATATAGGATGTCGACTGTTCCAGGTCAACAGAGAACTATATGTTGACTGTCTGATGTGGGTTGTTCCAGGCCGACAGGGAACTGTATGTTGACTGTGTGATGTGGGCTGTTCCAGGCCAACTATATAGGATGTCGACTGTTCCAGGTCAACAGAGAACTATATGTTGACTGTCTGATGTGGGCTGTTCCAGGCCGACAGGGAACTGTATGTTGACTGTGTGATGTGGGCTGTTCCAGGCCGACAGGGAACTGTATGTTGACTGTCTGATGTGGGCTGTTCCAGGCCGACCGGGAACTGTATGTTGACTGTCTGATGTGGGCTGTTCTAGGCCAACTATATAGGATGTCGACTGTTCCAGGTCAACAGAGAACTACATGTTGACTGCAGTGATGCGGGTTGTTGGAGCCATTGAGGAGGATAGAGTGTTCTCGAACAAGGCAAAACCACGTGACCAAACTTCCGTTAACTTAACATCGATTCCGGAAGCAATTGCGTTCTGATGATCTCGAATGTCCCTCAAGAGGCCCTGAAGAGGTTTTTCCCACGCGCCATTGTCGTGTTTGTCCAATTATTGTTAGGTACGCGATAGAAACTTCGGTTTCCATGGTAACATATATTTTTCTCCCGCATTAATGTGAAGAATACGACATGTGAGTGGACGAAGATTATTCTGTAAAACATAATATTCACTAATCACCGTGACTCACTGTGAAGAGTTAAAACCGATATGCAGATATACAAGGGCACTTGGTGACATTCAGGACAGCCTTGCTAATGTAACAAACCTTCATTGAGATAAATACGTCATATTACAATTACTAGTCATTGCCATAGCAACAAGATACACAACTGTGAAAAGGGATACGTTGTGATCCCGTATATAGTAGTGTATAGCACACCAGTATATGTAAATAGATGCGCTTCCCTTGAATGTCAGACAGCCACAATTCCACAACACGATATATATAGTCGTGGCCTTTCTTTCCGAATAAGCTCTTCACGTTTTTTAATCAGGTCTGTATTTGCATAACCGTCGATATATGGCTCTAATTTTAAAGATGGACTTAAATA